TTCAAAGCACACTACAATTACAGAAACCCTCTTCCTACGAAATGATAAGAAAGAACTAACACAAACTTGATTTACTTAGCCAGGGTCCAGCTGCAGTGGACATGCTGCTAAGACACTGTGCTCCATAGCTGTGACCACATGGGATACCCAGGTTCAATTCTCTGTCCAACCTAAAGGCTGGATGTGATGTTGTGTGTGTGTAATCCCAGTGACTCGGAGGACTTGAGGCAGGAAGATTGTAACCTGGAGAGAGACTTTAAACACACAAACAAAAAAATTCAGCCAGCAAATGAGTTTGTCTGCCTAGATGCCTCAGCTTACTGTTGTTGAGAGCTACCACCATTTGTTTCAGACTGGCTTGCTCAAGCAGGCACATTATTGTGATTTTGCTCCAGGTCATTAAGCATTTCTTGATGCTTTCTTGCAGTATTAGGTGGTTTACAGTATATGGGGCCTTTCAGTTTTGTTTTTGTTTTGCTTCTTTTGAGAGAGAGATTTTTGCTATAGGTGCATATGGTTGCTGGAGGGACACAGACACAGAAAGCAAGGAATCACCCTGACCCACGGGGGGATGGCCATGTCGCGGTCTCTTCCCGTCCACTCTCCTCTCAGAATTTCGGGCATGCGTGCACATAGGCCCAGTGTTAGTTTTAAGCCACTGGGTCTGGGACTCAGATCACAGTCGACTATGTGGGAGTCTAACCATGTAGCCATTATGCCATCTGTTGGTCCTGGAGTCTTTCAGTTTTAAGCTTGGGAGATTTCTCTATCAAGAATTACACTCAGTGGGACCAGTGGTTAGCATAATGGCTATGTTGCTGGACTCCCACATAGTTGACCGCGGTTCGAGTCCCAGACCCGGTGGCTTAAACTCATGCCGGGTGCGTGTGCATGCATGCCCAGGATCCTGAGAGGAGAATGGAGGAGAAGGGATTGTGGTGTGGCCATCCCCCCGGGGGGGGTGATTTCTCGCTTTTTGTCTCTCTGTCTGTCTGGTGAGCACACGCGCCCTATAGCAATAAATAAATAAATAAACAAATCTCTCCCCCCCCAAAAGAAAAGAAAATAAAAAAGAATTACACTCAGATTGAACTGGCAAAAAGATTAAGGTTACTACAGAAGAGGTCATCATGCCTGGTAGAGCGAGAGAGAGAGGAGGGCCTTGAGTTAGAACGTTTCTTGGGGTCCAGAAATGAGTTTCTTTTGGAGAGGTTTTTGCTATAGGGCGTGTGTGTTCACCAGAGAGACAGAGACAGACAGACAGAAAGCGAGAAATCACGCCCAGGGGGGATGGCCACACCACAATCCCTTCTCCTCCATTCTCCTCTCGGGATCTTGGGCACGCACACACACGTGCCTGATGTGAGTTTAAGCCACTGGGTCCAGGACTCGAACTATGGTTGACTACGTAGGAGCCCAGCAACATAACCATTACGCCAACTGCTGATCCCAGATGAGTTCCTTTTGACAGGTTGAGTTGGTTTACCTGAATGGAGCATGAGGCTAAGCAAGGGACTTCTATTAATCAAGTTCACCAGGCTCCAAGCAGAGGTGAGGTGGTCAGGAGTTCAGGTATGGGGCCATATCTGTGCAAAATACAAAAATGGGAACTGATGGACACTGCCCCCAAATATTGTCAAGGGGACAATCCAGGGATGACAGCAACACGATGGGAGGCAGCATTAGTACAGGTGAGGGTTGAGACTGTCAGCGTCATAGCCCACATTCCTTTAGCACATACATCGTGCCCTGCGTGCTGTGTATGTGGTATCTTGGTATGTGGTTGATTTTTCCATTTTCCAGTGGCAGAACTGAGGTCGCTGGGTTCAGTCACTAACTGAGGTTTCGGAGTTGGTGGCCTTTGGGGTAGTCCAACTGTTTTGCTTGTTGATTTGAGTGTATGCGTTGGAATTCCCACAGCTCTGATTACTTAAATCTGCCTTCTATCAGGCATAACTCCCAAGATTGGGGTTTGAAGGACGTAAGTGTTCCAGACAGTGGACTGTGTGGACACATGCAGATGTCCGCCAGCAGCGCACAAGCAGGAGAATTCTGCTCAGGCCAAGCACATTCGTCAGCATGTTCACAGTACCTCCCGACACTCCCGGGCTTCTCTGACATGGCCCCTTGGTTCTTTAATGAATTTTATTAATTAAAAACATTATAGTTTTTCATTCTTACTACAGAAAGAGAGAGAGAGATATGTACATGTACATGCGTAAATGTGCACCACACAGTTACCGTTGACAGAATCTCACCCTCCTGCGATCCTCTGGGAGCCATCCAGGATCACAGGTGCACTTGGCATGTGCAGATTGGCTCAGGACCCAAACCTGGGCCTCCTCTGTGGCTGAGGTATCACGTCACAGTGTCACCTGTTCCACTGCAACTGGGCCTGTATGTTCGTCTTTTTTATTTTGTTTTTCATATTGTCAGAGGTTGCGTGTGCTTGTCAGAGAAAGAGGGAGAGAGAAAACACCCCTCCAGTGGGGCCTGGTCACACCACAAGTCCTTTCTTCCATTTCTCCCTCCTTGCCGGAGGGCACATGTACTGGACAGAGAGACAGAGAAAGAGAAGGTGAGAGAGCACTCCCCAGTGGAGCGTGGTCATGCTGCCATTCCTTCTCTATTTCTCCATCCTTTTGGAATTTTAGGCATGCATGTACATGTGCCCAGCATGTTTTTCAAGCTGCCAGGGCTGGGGTTTGAATCAGTTGACCATATCGGAGTCTGCTACTTTAACCACTAGACTGTGGGACTATCCCTCCTATCAGCAGTTTGGACATTCATGCACACATACCCAAGCATGTTTTTCAAGCTGCTAAGTCAGCCATGTGGAGTCCAGTTCCCAAGGCACAGGGCTTAACCACTGTACCCTGGGGCCGGGTCCTGTGTGTGTTTTAGTGAACATCTGGTGAACACTAAAGGCAAAGGTAGAGACCCTTGCACCTCATTTAGGGGGTTAGCCATGTTCACCCTTCCCATTTCTGTGCTGCTCTAGGCTGCTCAGATATCCCCGCAGTGAACAAAGTTCTGGGCCTGTTGTGTGTAGAACAATTTAGTCTTCATTAGTTATTATTAATGAATTGTTTTCAGGTACTGTTCTTTTCTGGAGAGGTTTTTTGCCATAGCATGCATGCGCTTGCCAGAAAGACAGAGACAGAGAGATAGAAGGTGAGAAATCACCCCCCGGGAGGATGGCCACACCACAATCCCTTCTCTTCCATTCTCCTCTTAGGATCTTGGGCACGCACGCACACGCGTGTGGCATGAGTTTAAGCCACCAGGTCCGGGACTCAAACCATGGTCGGCTCTCTGGGAGTCTAGTGACATAGCCTTTACACCAACTGTTGGTCCCAGATACTGTTCTTTTCTGGGCCAGCTGTTACCTCCACAAAACTGCAGGGTCTCCTAGGGCAGGGGCTGTCTCTTTTTTTTTTTTTTTCACTTTTTGCTGGAGATTATGATAGAATGTGTCCAGTTGTCCAATAATTAACTAGATTTCCAAATCATTGAGTATGAGATCTCTTACCTGAGATGAAGACAAAGTAATCCTTGGACACCATCATAGTCAGCTTGGGCTGTTGTAAGAAATTCTGGGTGCCTCATAAACAACAGAAAGTCCTTTTCTTACAGCTCTGGGAGCTGGATGTCTGAGACCAAGGTGCTGTAGGTTTGGTCTCTCCTTGGCTCGCGGAGGGCCGTCCTCTCCCGATGGCCCCGTGTGGCTTTTTCACTGTGCACGCACATCTCTGATGTCTCTTCCTCTTCTCACGAGGACACCGGTCAGACTGCAGTGGGGTCTCTTCGCATGACCTCATTCACCTCGAACCACCTCTGTAGTGCTTCACATTCCTTCACATTCAGAAGTGTTGGGGGTTAGGACTTGAACACAGGAATTCAGGGAGGGACACCTTTTATCCTGTAACAATCTCTCAGTCACGTGGGGCGTGAGCACTGGGTTAGCAAGAACGTGGTTATGTCATTTCAGGGCTTGGTGACATTTGGGGATGTGGCTGTAGATTTTTCCCAGGAGGAGTGGGAGTGGCTGAGCCCCATTCAGAGGCATCTGTACAGGAAGGTGATGTTGGAGAACTACAGGAACCTGGCATCACTGGGTAAGGCTGTTCCCTGCCCCTTCTCCCTCCTGTCCCTCCTCCTTTTCTTTAAATTATTGTCATTGATTAATTAATTAAGTTAGTTATTTTTGGAAGTTGACCAGGGAGAGACAATGAGAGAGAAGGAAAGTGAGAAAGCAAGCTGCCAGGTCTGAGACTCGAACCGTGGTCGGCCATGTGGGAGTCCAGCCGCCTTAACCACCACGCCACCTGCGGGCCCTATCCCTCCTGTCCCTTCTTCCCTCAAACCCTGGAGGCTACCTGTCTAGTCTGGACAGATCCACAGCATGACTGCCTCATGTTTCTTTTTACACATCTAGGACTTTGTGTCTCTAAGCCTGACATGATCTCCTCTTTGGAGCAAGGAAGGGAGCCCTGGATGTTGAAGAAAATGATGACGAGAGGCCGGGGCTCAGGTGAGTGGTGCAGCCATGCCAGTCACAGCGTGGCCGCCTCAGACACCTGTTGTCTTCAGCAGACTTTTCCTAAGCCTCCGGGCCTGGAGGGGAAAGTTGAGACCTCTTCAGTGGGGCCTCCCCGCTTTTGCATTCTGCCCTGTGTCTTCTCTCCAGCTTTGCTCCTCTTCCTCTAAGATAACTTACTTCCCTCTTCCCAGACCCCATTGTTTCCTAGCTCCTCCTCTTCATCTCTCAGACTGATGGAAATCATGTCTATTTCTTAAAACATCTTTTGTGATTTTTGAAGTCATGTGTACTGTATTGTCTTGATTAAATGACTGCTTTTCTGGACTTACCTTTTTAATTAAATTTTTTTTTAAGAATTATTTTATTTTGGGACTGGCAGGTGGTGTGGTCGCTGGACTCCCACATGGCTGACTGTAGTTGGAGTCCCGGACCTGGTGGCTTGCTTTCTCTCTTCTTCTCTCTTTGTCCCTCTCTAGTCAAATTAAAATAAATAAATAAGTTAAATAAAATAATTACTTTTTTAAAAGGAATTATTTAAGTTTATTTATTATTATTGTTTTAATGTTTCCAGAAAGAGAGAGAGAGAAGGAAGGTGAGGAAGGAAGGGTCAGCTATGTGGGAGTCCAGCACCCTTAACCACCATGCCACCTGCTGGCCCCTAACCTTTTTTATTTTTAAAAATATTTATTTATTTATTTCCATTTGTCGTTGTTATTATGTTTTTATTTGACCAGACAGAGGCACAGAGAGAGAAAGGAAAAGTGAGAAAGCAAGCTGCCAGGTCTGAGACTCAAACCGCAGTCCGCCATGTAGGAAACCAACACCTTTAACCACCACACTACCTGCCAGCCTCCAAGGCCTCTTATCTTTTAATTTGAACAAGGCGATTGAGTGCTGCTTGGTGAGAGAAGCTCAAACCATTAGAGAATAAACCATCCTATAAGGGAGATGAGGCATGTCTCTATGTAACTCAAATGAACTAGAAACTATTGTTGTGTGCTAAATGTAAATGGGGACATAAGAGGAAGAGAAAGATCGTTCCCGTTTTAAGCTAGGGAAACAAGGGATGAAGCTAGAGCCTTGAACAGAAACGTTAGAACTAGAAGAAAGGGGGGCCGGCAGATGGTGTGGTTGGTTAAAGGTGCTGGACTCCCACTTGGCCTGCCATGGTTCGAATCCTAGACCTGGTGACTTCCTTTCTCACTTCCCTCTTTCTCTCTCTGGTCAAATTGGAAAGTAATAATAATAATAATAATAATTAAAAAAAGGTTTAAATAGGGGACCAGTAGGTTGTGTGGTGGTTGAGGCATTGAACACTCCCACATGGCCTACCCATAGTTCAAGTCTCGGACCTGGTAGCTTGCTTGCTCACTTGCCCCCTCTCTCCCTGACTCTCTCTGGTCAAATTAAAAAATAAATGAGCGAGGGACCAGCAGATGGCATAATGGCTAAGTCACTGGACTCCCATGTAGTCAACCACGGTTTGAGTCCCGCACCCAATGGCTTAAACTCATGCCGGGCACATGTGCGTGCGTGCCCAAGATCCTGAAAGGAGACTGGAGGAGAAGAGATTGCGGTGTGGCTATCCCTCCTGGGGGATGATTTCTCGCTTTCTTTCTCTCTGTCTCTGTCTTTCTGGCAAGTGCATGCACCCTATAGCAAAAAGCTCTCCAAAAAAATTAAAAATATAAATAAATGAGCAAATAAATAAAATTAAGTAAATAATTATTTTTTTAAAGCTAAAATAATTCTTAAAAAGAAAAAAAGAACTAGAAGAAAGGAACTGGTAGATTAGGACATTAGTTTGGTTTGGGCTGGAAAAGATTTGGAGTCCAAGTGAACTTAGTCAGACAGGGTATGCAGTTGGGCTATTGGCTCTCAGAAGAAAAGAACACTGATTCAGATTTGATGGGATATTCTTTCAGATATTGTGGTGATGTTTACACTATTTGGAAATGCAGAGATTTCAACCACAGCATTATTTCTGGAACAGCAGATTATCAAGTAAGAGAAGGAATCTTGGGACAGATGGTGGTACAGTGGTAATGCAACTGGACCTACAGGGAAAGGTCCTGGTTTCGCCTTCTGGGACCTGCCTGAGCGCACCAGATATGTGCGAGCATAACCATGATCTGGGATGGCTCGTGGTACAGAGACCCCACTAGGGGTCTCTTTCTCCTCTCTCTCTGTCTCATGGGAGAAATAAATATATTTTAAAAAAAAAAGGAGAAGAAATTAGAATCATAGATTACTTTCGGAAATTTTATTATTAAAATAGGAAATGATAATTTCTGAAGAATTGGGAATTTTATTATACTTCAAAGGAAAAGTTTGTATTAACAAAACAGGACAGGTTGCTCATGGTTCTATCAACTTGCATGGGTCATTACATTGTGTAGGAGAACAAAAATAACATTTTTGTGAAAGTTTTCAACTTACCATCACACTAAATTACATTCTTTGGACTAGTTATTTTGAAATGGAGCTGTTTTGTTCTCCTATAGATCCTTCATCTCTCGTTGAGGCTCTAGTTAATCATGAAGACTTGTATTTTTATAAGTAGGATGTGGACTTTTATTAGCATTGAACAAAAAACGAGGCATGCAGAACTAGAGGTGGACTTTTTGTGACATAAAATAGAGAAAGTCAAAGGGAGTTTTATTTCATAAAGCTGAAAATAAAGGATCATATAGCAGTTTTCTGCTGTAGCCTCTGCTGCTGTTTATATTGATAACATGTTCATCTTAGATTTTAATCTTGCGAGCTCTCTGATCTTTTGATTTTCAGTGTTCTACCAAAAACATAGTGTGTACTACTCGTTCAGCATTTATGTGGGAGAGTTTGTGCTGTATCCTTAGCCACACGAATGTAGGGACGTAAGGCTGATCAAATAGAGTAGGTCAGGTAAAAAAGCTTCCAGAACAATAGGATTTTTTCATTTACTTGAGCACATGATAAAAGAGATTCACTTCTCTAATATCTTTCAGACTTGAAGGCCATGCAGGAGACCAAGGAGGTACCTCCAAAGAAGGACCTCTGTGAAGAAAAGTTATCCCAGGCAGTGATCACAGAGAAACTGACAAACTGTAGTCTGGAGTACTCCTTATTAGGGGAAAACTGGGATTACGATGCTCTGCTTGAGACACAGCCGGTAAGTAAGGAGATTCAGGCAAGAGAAAATATCCCTCATACAGAAGACCTTGAGGAAAGAGACCATGACTGCAGTGACTGTGGGAGACAGTCCCACCTGAATACAGTACTTGTTATAGATGATGTCCCCAGAAGAAAGTCCATGACCTTGATGCCACAAGAAAAGTGGGGTGAGTGGGACCAGCATGTGGTTAATGCACTGGATCCCACATAGCCTACTCTGCAGTTTGAGTCCCAGACCCGGCAGCCTGCAAAACACACTGGGCATGCTTATGCACATGTGTGCCCAAAATTCCAAGAGGAGAAAGGAGGAGAAGGAATTGTGACGTGGCCATCTCCTCTGGGGAGTCATTTCTCAAATTCCTTTCTTCTGTCTCTCTCTAGTGAGGGCATATACCCTGTAGCAAAAATCTGAAAAAAACAAAAACAAAAACAAAAACAAAACAAAACAAAAAACCAAAAAAAAACCTGGGGTGGGGGACAGAGAACTGAGTTGTGATTAATTATAAACAAATCTGTTTAGCTTAAAATGTTTGACTTGTGTAATGAGTGTGAGAAGACTTTTAGAAGGATCTTGACCTATCTTTACCATCAAAGATTTCACTCAGGAGAAAAACTCTGGGTATTTGTTTGTTTATTTGTTTATTAATTAAGAATGATTGGGTTTGGGCCAGCAGGTGGCAGAGAGTTTAAGGCACTGAACTTCCACATAGTTGGCTGTAAGTTCAAGTCCTGGACCCAAATCCTGAAAAGAAAGGGACAGAGAAGGGCTGTGGCATGGCCGTTACCCCTGGGGGGTGAGTTCTTGCTTTCTCCCTGTCTCCCCTGAGCACACATGCCCTGTAGCAAAAATCTTTTTTTTTTTAAAAAAAAGGTTGGAAAAGTTATGACATATTTTTCTACACAAAAACATGTTATGACTTTTCTAACAACCCAATATTTATTGAATTTTATTTATTATTATTTCTTAATTGACTATAGGACACATGTGCTTACCAGAGACAGAGAAAGAGAAGAAAAAAGTGAGAAAGCAAGCCTCCAGGTCCAGGACTTGAACTGCAGTTGGCCATGTGGGAGTCCAGTACCTCAATCACCATGCCACTTGCTGGCCCCTCTGAGTATTAATTGAATAATGAGTATTGAATCTAGGAAAGCTTTCAGTCAGCATTTAAAAACTTATACCCAGGGCCAGCAGGTGGTGTGTTGGTTGGGGGCGCTGGACTCACACATGGCCAACCACGGTTCAAGTCCCATTTCTCACTTGCCCTCCCGCTCTCTTTCTCACTCTGCCCCTCTATGGTCAAATTTAAATAAATAAATACATAAATAAATAAAGTTAAATAAAATAATAATTAAAAAAAAATTATACCCTAGGGGCCGGTAGGTGCCATGGTGATTAAGGGCATTGGACTCCCCCATGGCCGACTATAGTTTGAGTTCTGGACCTGGCGGCTTGCTTTCTCACTCACTCACTCTCCCTCATGGGTGAAATTAAAAAAAAAAAAAAAGTAAATAAATAAATAAATCTTTAAAAAAAAATTTATACTGTGGGGACCAGCAGATGGTGTGGTTGCTTTGCTGGACTCCCATGTAGTCAGCCATGGTTCGAGTCCCAGACCTGGTGGCTTCCAACTCACACAGGCTTTTGTACGTGCATGCCCAAAATCCTAAGAGGAGAATGGAGGGAAAGGTATTGCAGTGTGGCCATCCCCCTTTGGGGGTGATTTCTTGCTTTCTGTCTCTCTATCTCCCTCACACACCTTACAGCAAAAATCTCTCTCTCAAAAAAAAAAGATTTTTGCTGTAGGACACACATGCTCACCAGACAGAGAGTGACAGACAGAGAGATACAAAGTGAGAAATCACCCCCAGAGGGGATGGCCACACTGCAATCCCTCTTCCTCCAGTCTTCTCTCGAAATTTGGGCACACATGTTCATGCATCCAGAGGGAGTTTTAAAGCTGTCGGGTCCAGAATTTGAACTGCAGTCAACTATTGGGAGTCCAGTGACATAACCGTTATGCCACCTGGTGGTCGCAAAAATCTCTCTTAAAAACAAAACAAAACAAAACAAAACAAACTATTTATACTCTGTATAAGTTCATTCTCCTCTAAAAAACTATAATTTCTACTCAGCAGAAACTAATCATCTCATTTTTCTCATTTTCCCCAAACATAATGGTATAACCAAGCCCAGTCATTATGGGGCATGGGGACTAGCACTTGGCATAATAAATATGTCACTGGACTCCCATGTAGTCGACCGCAGTTCGAGTCCCGGACCTGGTGGCTTAAATTCATGCCGGGCACATGTACATGCGTGCCCAAGATCCCAAAAGGGGAATGGAAGAGAAGGGATTGCGGTGTGGCCATCCCCCCCGGGGGTGATTTCTCATTTTCTGTCTCTCTGTCTTTATGGCGAACGCACGTGCCCTATAGCAAAAAATACCTCATAAAAAAAAAAAAAAGACAACATTATGGGACATGGATTATTCCAAACCTAAGTTACATGTCTTCAGACAGAATGCCCCCTTCACAGAGTATGGATACAGCTCACCCACCAGGATTACACAGACTCGCAAGTATGATGTGGTCAGGAATGCGTTTGTGTCATTTCAGGGCTTGGTAGCCATCACAAATATGGCCGTCAGCTTCTCCCAGCAGCTAGACCCTGCCCAGAGGATTTTCCGAAAGAACGTGATGTGGAAGAAGCACGATGACCTGGGATCTGTAGGTAAGAATGGTGCTCTCCTAGTTTTGCGTTTATCTTCAGGAGACCCCTTCGCAGACCTCAGTCTGAATTATAGAAGAGGGCGGGTAGGCCTCGTGAAGTGCTGGGCTGAACTTCTGCTCCCAGTTCCTAAGATTGACCCTTTGTGGGGCTGAACCTTGGTTGGCATTACTCTGGAAGAATCATCTTTGGTATCTTCCAGCTCTTCTTCACTTATTCTCTGTTTTTCCTATAATAACAACTTTCTCTCAAACAAAGGAACTGGTTCCTCCATTTAGAAATCTTTAGGGGCTGGCAGGTGGCATGGAGGTTAAGATGCTGAACTCTCACATGGCTGGCTGCAGTTCAAGTCCTGGACCTGGCAGCTTGCTTTCTCACTTCCCCTCTGTCTCTTTGGTCAAATTATAATAATAATAATAATAGCAAGTAAAATTAAATAAATAATTTTAAAAAATCTTAAGCATATAATGAAACCTGTCTCTTTTCACTTAAACAGGATCTTATGTTTCTAAGCCAGATTTAGTCTCTCTACTAGAGCAAGGGAAGGAGGCCTGGATGGTGGAAACAGAACAGACTAGAGGCCTATTCTCAGGTGAGCCTGGTGTGGAAAAGCCATTGCAGATTTGAGAGTGTGGCTTTATCCTTTCTTATTTATTTATTTTATTTTTTGGAGAGGTTTTTGCTATAGGGCGTGTGTGCTTGCCAGAAAGAGAGAGAGAGAGACAGAAAGTGAGAAATCACACCTCGGGGGGATGGCCATACTGCAATCTCTTCTGCTCCATTTGCCTTGTGGGATCTTGGGCACACACGCACACATGCCTGGCGTGAGTTTAAACCACCAGGTCTGGACTCGAACCACGGTCAACAACATAGCCATTATGCCAACTGCTCTTCCCAAGTGTGGCTTGATCAAAGAGGCTAGATCCTCACTGATGCACCGTAGAAAACTTTGTCAAGTCCATTAGGTCTGGAGAGAAAATTGAACTTTGAGACTTCCAAATTATTCTTTCCTTTTTTTTTTTTTTTAATTTAACACTTTTTTTAAGGAAAAAAACAGGTAATTGGAAAGTCAGAAATGTATGTATGTATTTATTTATTAATTATTACTCATCTTCAATTTGACCACAGAGAGACAGAAAGAGAGAAAGCAAGTTGCCAGGTCCAGGTCCTAAACCATGATCAGCCATGTGGGAATCCAGCACCTTAACTGCTGTGCCACCTGTTGCCCCTCTTTCCTCCTCTTTTCTCTCTTTAATGATAACTAATTTCTCCTTTTTTTTCTTCTTTCCTTACCCATTCGTACTATATTAGCTTCTCAGTCTATGAGTGAATTTTTCCTGACCCTCGTGTACTTAAAAAAAAAAATTATAGACCACAGATTAGTTTATTTTTAACACCCATCATGCTATGAATTCATAGGGAATAGGTTCCAGTAGCTCAGGCTCCTTTCCATTGGTTCTCACAAAGTGTGCTTCTCTGGGTGGAGCAGGCTGGCACTTCAGTTGAACCCGGGTTTCTTTCTCTTTGGCTTTCTTCTTTGTGTAGTCATTTTCCTTCACACGTTTTAGGAGGCTATCTCTGATTTTATAATGCTTAATTATGTTCAATACGCACATTAATTCTCTTGGTGAGAATCTTACCCTTAACTTGTTTGTTCACAACAATGCTAACTGCATGCTGGGTAACATTGTAGACTCTTCCAGTTTTTCCATGGTAACATCTGTGGGGCATTCCTTTTTGAATAGTACCCATTCCCTTGATGTCTACAATGTCAGCTTTCTTGTAGATTCGCATATATGTTGCCAAAGGAACCACTCCATGTTTTCTAAAAGGCCTAGAGAACATATATTGAATGACTTTCCTCTTCCCCTTGGTGTTCGTCATTTTAGTTAATTATTAGAAGATGGTGGTTCCAGCCAAAAGGCACCCTCGTGTACTTTGGAGCTGTCTTCAAAAAGTTTACTTTTCTGGGAACCAGCAGTTAGCGTAATGGCTATGTCGCTGGATTCCCACGTAGTCAACCACGGTTCGCATACCGGACCCGGTGGCTTAAAACTCACGCCGGGCGCGTGTGCGTGCGTGCCCAAGATCCCAAGAATGGAGGAGAAAGGATTGCGGCATGGCCATCCTCCCTGGGGGGTGATTTCTCGCTTTCTGTCTCTATGTCTCTGTCTGTCTGGCGAGCGCACGTGACCTATAGCAAAAATCTCTCAAAAAAAAAAAAAAAAGAAAAAGTTTACTTTTCTGGGGACCAGTGGATGGTGTAATGGTTACATCACCGGACTCCCACAGTTGATTGCAGTTTGAGTTCCACACCCAGCAGCTTAAAACTCACGCTCGCACATGTACGTGTATGCCCAAAATCCCTAGAGGAGGATGGAGGGGAAGAGAATGCAGCATGCGGCCACGTGCCTGGGAGGTGATTTCTTGCTTTTTGTCTCTGTGTCTGGCGAGTGCAAGGGCCCATAGCAAAAATCTCTCTAAAAAAAGTTTACTCTCCTGTGATGAAACGGTCTATTTGATTATTCTGTATCCATCCTGTAGGAACCATGACGTGGTGTGAGTGAGGCACCGTGCTTGGTATTGTCAGGTAATTGGATAAAGGGAGCACTTCAATGTATATGTGAACCATTGAAGAATTACTCTGTGGAGATGAGGCATGGGTGTAGATAACTTGCATGAAGTAGAGCTTGTGAAATTTTGAATAGGGCATTACAGAGACAAGGAGTTGTTCCCAAAGGTTCCTACATTTCAGTGCTACGTGTATGGAAGTAATATTGTAAGAAAAGGGAAGTAGAGGATCTCTTCCTTTTGATGCACGGGGGAGGAAAATAAATTACCTTAGAAAGAAGTGGTTAGAGGGGCCAGCAGATGGCATAGTGGTTAAGATGCTGAACTCCCATGTGGTCCACTGTGGTTCGTGTCCTAGACCTGGCTGCTTGAGACTCACGCTGGGCATGTGTGCGTGTGTGCCCAACATCCCAAGAGGAGAATGGAGGAGAGGGGATTATAGTGTGACCACCCTCCCAGTGGAGTGACTAATTGCTTTCTGTCTCTCCAGCGAGCACATGCACCCTATAGCAAAAATCTCTCTCAAAGGCAAAGAAAATAAAGGTTAGAGAAAATGTGATTCTATCACCTGTTTGGAAAAAGAATAGGAAACCATACCTTGGGCCAGCAGGTGGTGTGGTTGAGGCTGACTGTGGTTTGACTGATGGCTTGTTTTCTCACTTTCCTTGTCTGTCTCTCTCTCTGGTGAGCACACATATCTGTAGCAAATTTTTTAAAAGTGAAAATAATGATACATAAAACTAAATAATTTTAAAACAAGAAAATCATGACCCATTAGCACAATACATTTTATTGTGACTACTTTAGGCCCTTTTGAGTCATGGTAAACATGTATTTTTCACATAGTAGAAATTATAGTGTATATTCAGTCATGTAGATTGATGTTTTTCATTTGCCCTCTGTGTTGACTATTGCTCATTTAGGTTACTTCACATTTTTTGATATTAAAGATACAGTAGGTATTATGTAAGTGAAAAGTCTATAGGTTTTGGAATTGCTGTATCACTGAATATGAGCATCCTAGGTTCTTTTTCAGTTTAGTTACTCACAGTGGCTAGATGTATGAGTTTCATTGCATCCTCAAAGTGCTGGGTTGTTTTTGTTTTAATTGCCAGAGGGCATATGAGCTCACCAGACAGAGAGAAAATACCCCACAATGCAGTGTGGTCATGCCACAATCCATTCTCCATTTCTCCATCCTGCCTCTACCCTTGGCACACATACACACGTGCCTGGTGTGTTTCTCAAGCTGTTGAGGCTGGAATTTGAGCTGTGGTTAACCTTGTGAGATACAGCTTTTTCTGTGCACAGTTTTAACTGCTGCACCAATGCCCAACATTGAGTATTCACACGAAAATTTTTGCTGATTACTTAGTGAAAGATTATAGCTTAAATTTTGTTTTTATTATGAAAGAGGTTAAATATTTCCTCCCAAATTTAATTTTTCTATTTTATGCTTTTAACTGTTTTTTTATTTGTACTCATATCTGTATTTGTATCTTAAATGTCTTGAATGTTTTCTTAATAGTACCAGTAATTTTTACTTATAAATATACTAATTATCTATTGCCTCAACATTATTTTTCACATTTGATAATCAATTTCTATTTTAATTGTCTTAAAGTGTGATACGTGAACATTTTTTAGTGCATGCATTAGCCACAGAAGAGAGAAAGCAAGGAATCACTCCCTGGGGGGATTGCCATGCTGCAGTCCCTTCTCTTGGGATTTTGGGCGTGCACGCACACATGCCCAGCACGAATTTCAAGCCTCTGGATTCAAGACTCAAACTGCATTCGACTCTGTGGGAGTCTGGCAACATAACCATAATGCTATTATATGGTCTCAGTCTTAAGGTTTATCTGTAAGGCATGTGTGCTTGCTGGAAAGAGACAGAGGGAAGGTGAGAAGGGGTATGGCCATGCCACAATCCCTTTTCCTCCATTCTTCTTTGGGGATTTTGGGCACGCACGCACACATGCCAGGTGTGATTTTTGAAGCTTCCAGGTCTGGAACTTGAACTGCTGTTGGCCATCTGGGAATCCAGCACCTTAACCACTGTGCCACCTGGTGGCCCCCTTTCTCCTTTAATTAATAGATGTGTCATTGTCATTTGATCCATGTAACAAATTTGTTAGACCCTATTTCTGTTACTTGTTTAATTCTTGCTCTCTTTCTGTTTTATCCTCCTCCTTCCTTTCCTTTCATTCCTACTCATTTTTTTGTTCCTTACTTTTTCTTTATCTTGTCTTTTGCTATGTGGTCCTGTTTGTTTAATTTATATATTTTTATTATGGAAAAGTATATGTAACATAAAATTTAACCATTTTAAACTTTATAACTTTGTGACTTACCATTGTCTAATTCCAGAAATTTTCATTACAACAAAAGGGAACTCTATATATTGAACAGCTGCTCACTATTCCCTCCTTCCCCAATCCCCTGACACTACTAATCAGGTTCTGTTTCTATGGATTTCCTTATTTTGCATATGTCATATAAATGAAATTATACAATATGTGCTTACTGTGTCTCATTTCTTTCCCTTAATATAATGTTTTCAGTTTGTTCATGATGTAGCATTCATTCCTTTTTATGGCTGAATTACATTTTATGGATATGTTATATGCTGTTTATCTGTTCACCTGTTGATGAACATTTGAGATTGTTTGCAACTTTTGACTGTTGTGACTACTGCTGCTCTGAGCATTCATGTGCAAGTGTTTCTTTGAATGCCTCTTTTCAGTTATTTTAAGTATGTGGAGTAGAATTGCTGGGTTACGTAATAATTTTATATTTAACTTTTTAAAAAAAGAATTATTTTATTGGGACCAGCAGTTAATGTAATGGCTATGTCACTGGACTCCCATGTGGTCAATTGCGGTTCGAGTCCTGGACCTGGTGGCTTAAACTCATGCTGGGCATGTGTGCGTGTATGCCCAAGATCCCAAGAGGAGAATGGAGGAGAAGGGATTGTGGCATGGCCATCCCCTCTGGGAGGTGATTTCTTGCTTTCTGTCT